CCCCCCATTTATCTTTTGTCTAGGAATGCAGTAATGGATTGAAACCATAAACAAGCACTAGACATGAATGAGAACACAGCAGGGTGGTGAGTAACACCTGGAAGTAGTGGCTTGATACTACCTCATGCTTCAAGAGGAACCATGAATATATGTATTTTTTCTTTGCTACTTTCCAAAAGCACAACTGGCTCATTAGAATCACTTCCAGCTGCAACCCCCTATCTGAAACTTACTGGTTTATGCTCCAGAATTTTAAGCTAAGCTACCTACAGGTATTATATTTTAAGTGCAAGAACAAAGAAATGCATCTGGCAGAAGTTTTATGCACAATTCATGAGGACTGTGCATGCTGGGTCCATCACCACAGTACAGCAACATCCGCATTACAGGTAAGGCAAGTGCTTGTGGACTATTAGGAGATGAAACCCAAGTTACTCGTTTCAGAACAAAAGCAAGCAACAAAATGCACTTTAGAGAGCTGTTTTATATGTTAAAACAATGTAAAAAAGTATTTGTGAAACCCAGTTGCAGTGTACTTATGAAGTGCCATTTTTACCTTCAACCTTCCTCTTAAATAGATGATTTCATATTGTTCCAGAAAAGTGTTAGTATTCCTGCAGAGTTCAGGCAAAGGGCTTTTTGCAGAAGTGTTAGACAGGACAGATGCTTAATGACAATTTTACTGCCAACGACATGTCTAGAAAGGCCTAGAAATACTTAAAAAGCATAGATTAAGAGTCTATCATGACCTGATTTCCTGAACACTTTCAATAAACTACTTGAGTAAAGTACCTTCTTCTTTAGGGGGAATTGTTTGAGGTATTTTAAATCACTCATTATTTTGGTTCTTTCTTTGTTAGAAGCAAACCTAAACCAAATCTCTCCCCACTAATCACCTCGATGACCTCCTCCAGGCTGAGGCCAAGTTATCAAGTTCTTTTTCTGTCCCAGAGAAATGGGTGGGAAGTCACGTCAAATCATTGAATCACAGCATCCCAGAACTGGTTTGGGTTGGAAAGGACCTTAAAGCTCATCCGGGTCCAACCCCCTGCCACGGGCAGGGACCCCTTCCACTAGAGCAGGTTGCTCCAAGCCCCTGTGTCCAACCTGGCCTTGAACACTGCCAGGGATGGGGCACCCACAGCTTCTCTGGGCACCCTGTGCCAGCACCTCAGCACCCTCCCAGGGAAGAGCTTCTGCCTTAGATCCAACCTGAACTTCCCCTGTTCCAGTTTGAACCCATCACCTCTTGTCCTGTCGCTACAGCTCCTGATGAAGAGTCATTAAGAAGCTTTGTAAACACTTAAAAACCAAATTTCATCTTATTTTCTTTAATCCTCCTGAGTTAATGCACTTACTGGAGAAAACTAAACCATTAAAAACTAATGCAGACCAGCTAGTTCCATTCCACCGTTCTCTGTGTCAACCCATCTTCCTCCTGATTTTGTATAAATTCACAGACCATGGATAAAAATACTGGATGCTGTCAGAACTCGTATTAACCTTTACAGAAATCCTGTTAGAAATGCAGCTATTCTCATACCAGATTGAGAAGTCAATTATACAGCACCGAAGCCACCAGCATGCATTTTCTTTCTATCAATGACAGACATCTTTCAAAAGGTTTAGAGCAATAGTTAATAAACCTAATTTTAGCTTGCACGAAATGCAGTAGATTCTGAATGGGCCACGCTTTGTACCACAGTAACACCAAATGAAAGCCCTGTTATAAGGAAGAGTATTGTAAAATAAAAATGCATTTACTAACCTTGAAGAAACATATGATTTTACATGAAATTAAAATTAATACCACACATTCTTCCTATTTAAACTTATTCTTCTCTTTTTTCTACAGTTAGCATCCTATCCTACAGAAAACTAATGTACGTGCTTATGTTTAAGGCAGTAGTAACCAGGACTACTTATTGATATGGAGAAACATTCCAGTGTTTTTACTGGTATAAACCAAGCTATTTGCATTTCAGATGTTAACCCTTTTTGTTCAACTCAAAGTCTGTGTTTAAAAAAGCACACAAGAGAAAGTAAGACCTCATTTCATATCAGAACGATAGAAAGGAGCACATACAGACGTCTCTGGCATGGTTTTACAGCGCGGGTGCTCCAATTCCTGTTGCTGATGTTTCATTCCAGTATTCTTCCAGTCTTTTATGGCCAAATGCATAACCACCTTGATTTGCAAACAGTGTCACCTGGTAGCACTCTATATGCTTTCAGAACGAGAAGAACGTGGCTATGAGGTGCAGATGTGGCACAGGTCTGAGCCAGCATTCTGGGGCTGCAAATCCCACATCGGATTCCACAGTTACTGCAGCTGACCTCAATACTGCAGAACACTTTCCCTCCACCAAACCTCTAAACACTTGTCAGTACCAAAGCTGTTTGCCCAGCACTTGCCAATAAAGAAACAAAACCCAAAAGCTACAAACTAAAACCTAACTCTGAAATCCATGTTGTACCTAGAGTCTGAACATGCACTAAAATATGCTGGGGTTTTTTCTCTTTAATAAAGTCAATACAGAGCAGTTTGAGGTAAAAATGTAAAGCTGAGTTTCACAGGGGAAACCATAAATGATGATTTCAAAAGGGGTTAGCACCGTGTTCTTAAATGGAAGCGAGTGGTTACAGTGCAAGATCTTCAAATGACTTGAGCGTCACTGACAGCAAATCAGCCAAAAACAAGCGTCCCAAAGACAGTCTTGCCTTATCTTCCTGCTTTGTCTTTAATTTTTCTATGATAAAACCAAAATCAGAACATTTCCAGGTATCTTAGGAGGGGGATTCTGATTTCGTTCCACCCCCGAGCAATATTTGCTGAAGCTGTCTTTAAATGCAACACCAGCTGAAGATCTAAGCCGATTAAGGCTTTTTGAGGTCACTGAGCTAGAATAAAGTAGATCAGTTTCCCAGTGATCACTTCATGTAGGCATTCCCCAGTGCTCCATAAGGAATCTGACAATCCGGCAGCTTCTACCTCTTGAAAGTTACCTGGGTTTTCCCAAGTAGAAGATGTTTCAGATATCCAAATAACCAACTCATTAGCCAGTCTGGCTGTAACAACTCAAACAGAGAGGTCCTATACTACAAGAGTTGTACAATATCGATGTTCCAGGCTCCAAGAATAAATTCAAGTCAGTAAGAACTGAATACCAATGATTCAATATCTCAAACTCTTTCTTTCCCAGACCTTAGAACAGGAGGGATGAGGTAAGACATTTGGCTATGGGTTTCATTAGACATAAGTGATTTTAGTTCTTCTCAAGACACTAAAGATGTGGAAGGAGTGCAAGCTTTCTCATAGCACTGACTTGTCTCTTCACAGTAGAGCTTGATGTCCAGCTCTACTCCCCTGTAACTGCTTCCAGCACAAGTGCATTTGCTGGAGCTTTAGTATCATGCTATATTTTGCACCAGAGATGTCTTAAAAGCCTTAGAGTGGACAGGGGGAGAAAAGAATCTGAAAGGCCCTTGAAAAACAGGGAAGGAGGAATCAATTCTTTCTTCCCCATTCCCAGCTAATCTAGATTGTCCCACTGCAGGCCCTCATCAGACCTACTTGCACTCCTCTCAGCCCCAGTAATTCTTAAGCTCCTTATACATCTATTCTAGCTCTTCCAATGAACTCAACTCCCAAATATCCCCTCGCTATCAGATTCCCCATTTCTTACCTAGCCTCCTATCTTGTCTGAATCCTTCAGTTTCTTTCCTTACCCGCCTTGTCTCACCTCCTGTACAGCTAGATTACACAGCCTTTCTTCCCAGCAGGACAAACTATACCGCAGGTAACAGAACCTGCTTAGGCTCTAATCCAGTGTCAAGACCTGACGTAGTCCAAAGCAGCTGCAAAAGAAACTGAAGTGCTTTCCAGCCCCATGCCACCTATGAAAGAACACTCAAGAAATCAAGATGTTTAACTCTTCTAGCAAAAGCTCGTAACCCTCGTTTCCTTCTAGAACCAGCATGGCTCTGCCTAAGAAGGTTGCCTCCCCCACATCCTCCAACATACCCAAAGCGTTGTGTTTCAAAACCCCCAAAACCATACCAAACCCCACATCCTCTCCCAGAGAACATGAGTTTTAGCCAATCATTCAAGCCAGGGCTTGAAGCACACGGACAAAGACTGCAGAGGAGCTGTGTTTCAGAAGACCTCCTACTCTCTCTGTTATTGCCCTCTTCTACCGAGGATGACAAACAGAATGAAGTGGTTTTACTTCTGTAATCATCTTGACAAGCCCGACTGCAAAACCTGAGCATTCTCTTTGCTGGATATTGCCTTCTTCAATGTTTCCCGTTAGTGTTCTCTCCCAGACATGAAATGCTGTTTGTATATAACATAAAGTTATCTCCAGGAAATCTCGCTGGGTTTTGTGATTTCTAACTCCCTCCTTTGCTGATACAACTATCTCTTTGATTTTGGAATAGAATTCTATGAATTCAAACTCATGAGGATTTGCTTTGAATAATCATTTAACACTTAAAGGACATTATTTTGTGTCATTATATTTGTGACTGCGGCTCTTAGCAGCCACACAAAAAAAATCACAGAGCCAATTACATTCACTACTCCAGTCAAGCAGAAATAGCATTTTTAATTAGTACTACTGTTATCATCATCATTATTATAAAGAACTGGTTGCAAGGCAAAGGTCTGGAGCCTTTGCTTTGAGGAAACAGGGTCTGCAAACACACTATCCCTCCCAGTTACAACTTTGGGATCTGACAATTCAAATTCTTCACTTAGTTTTCTCCACACCTTAATCTTTGCTTTGGTGGGGGAGAAAGGAACCTAAAGACATAGCAACTTACTGTGTTTCTGTCATTGCTGAACAAGATCCAGCTATTCTCAGATAACACACGTCCTCCACTACTGAGAGGTCTGCTTTTTAAGCAAGTTGTGAATAAGCTAAGGTCAAGATGCTGAAAAATTCAAATCACTTTAGTAGTAAAAGCTCTTAAAAGAAAGAAATACTCCAGCCAATTATGAGCCACTGGGAATTTTATATGAAAGGGAGAATCATTGTTTTTGGACTCCACCAAAATGCTACAGATGAAATTCCCAGCAGGAAATTTCACTTGTTGCTTTCCCCAAAGTAACGTATTGACACAGTTTTTGTGCGCAGAATAATAGTTTGCTTCAAAGAACTTCTTGTAGCAATTCTCCAGCAGCTGAACCTTCTGTAAATAGAAAGGACCAATGTAATTACTTCAAACTGGCAGAAGATTAGGAACCAAACAATGCAAAAGGTGGAAAAAACTATACATTATTCTTTAACTTAGATCATCACTCCCGTATTTTATTTAGACTTTGGAGATGTTAAAAAGCACTGACATGTTTAAAATAACTCATTTGTTTATGCATTGTACCAAGTATTTTCATAATTGGCTAAAAAAATATGGACACCAATAGCTCAGTAAACTTCTTGGGCTTTGGAGAGCTATCAATGACCAGGTCAGCGTATAAACTCCCTGCCAATATAGGCTATCACTGATTTTAAGATTTCATAGTCAAACAGGACTTGAAATACAAATCTACCATCCCAACAGTTTATACTTTATCTGGCTCCTGTACAAGCTATGAGGAGAGAGAATGTGATCTTCCTTTGCTGAGTGGCTGTAGAATCAGATGAATTTGATACAGACAAGGTAGGTCCACATTCACAAATGCACTGCCCGACAGTGAACACCACTTGTGACATGCTGACTGCCCCAAAAAAGAGGATTTTGACCTTCTGGTAGTTGCCTTTTAGTGCCAGTGTTTGCCTAAGAATAGCACGAGGTATTTTCATTCATAAAGCACAAGGGCACTTCATAACACAACCCATGAGAAAGGTTTGGAAGTCTCCTTATTAGATAGGCATGAAAGCTAAAACTCCTCAGATTTAAGTCTCAGCAGGACCTCAGTACAGGGAATAAAGACAGATTGACAGAAATGAGGTATGATTCATTGAAAACAAATAGGGAAAGCAGCTTAAGAATTTGAACATCAGTGCTCGTTCTGTCAAATAGGGAACATGTAACAGCATAAACCCCTCTTCATTCAAGTAAGTCTAGCTGCTTGGGGACTAGGGAATTCAAAAGATGGGAATGACTTCCAAGTAGTAAAACACAGAACATGATGAAGTAAGTTTTGCATTGCTCGATCACAAACATGCTAAGAACTATTTTGAGAACCTGATAGTTTGTAAGACTAGAAGTTTTACTTAACACTTAACTCAGCCTCCGTGGCTCTTATTATTCCAACACAAAACAAGTAATCCCACCAGAAATAAATGACATTTTTTTCCTGGACATCAGTCTGAAGAAAACCCTATATTTAGCAAATTCCAAACCACAAAAGTTAGGCCCATTTCTCATGTTCACATACCTAAATGGAAGATAAGGTGGATTAGATCCAGACAAAAGTGTTCTGTAAGCTTCTTCTGGTGTTTTCTTCAAGTATATTACCTAAAAGGGATGGGGGGAGAGGAAAAAATATCAGCCCTGAGCCTGAAAAGTCATTAACCACATGTAAGCTTCCCCAGCCCATTAAACTCCTGAGCATGTATGCTATACTCCTTCATGACCAACTGCTAGGACATTTATAGGTCAGAAAAGACATAGTAAAAGATTCAGAAATCAATAGAAGTCAACAGAAACTGGGAATTCTGTTTTGTGTGATCCTCCTCCGTTAGAAAACAATAAAATACATTAAAAAATAATCACATATTGTGGCAACTGAGAGACTTTAAGACAGACTCAGCATTGTCCTAAGAAGAAAAATAGGCATCTGTACCAGGAGTTCTCTGCCCAGCTTCAGATGAGTCCAAGTATCACAGTGTCAGACAAAGAAGACTTCTCTAGCACACCTCAATGGAAGATTTTCCAACACAAAGACTGTTTGATTCCTAATTGTCAATATCAAACTATTAATTAAGCAAAAATATCTAATTCAACCAGCTGAACCTGTTACTGTGAGACCAACATACAGTTCTTGTAAAACCCTAAGCCAAGGCTCATTCTGCTATCCCTGAACACCATCGGCTGCTCTGGCTTGAGCAAGAAATGAAAATACAACCACATCATGTTGTGTTTCAAGTCCTATTTGTGCAGTAAAACTGGTCCTGAAATAAAACTAACCTGGAAAATCCATTAAGCAAGTGCATTATTTCCAAGGGGGGAGGTGGGGAAAAGAAGAGCTGTAATCCAGTTTGCGGTGGCGTATCTCATGTGGACAAGCATGTTTCTTAATGCCACACCATCTCCCTATCTCCCTGGCCATTTCCCCTCCAACTCACAACTAGCACCTCTATGGCGACATGTTCACTCTGTGCACATTTAACTCTTGAATATAAAGTATTCTAATAAGGATTTTCTTAACTGAAACATAGGTTAGTTCCTTGTCCAAAAGCTTTATTCAGCTTTTGAATGTACCTAAGTGGTGGCCGCTCCCAGAATATTTGCTATTTGCCTTATGTCTAGAGTCCTATCTCAAGTTAATGGGAGTCTCAGTATTCTGTAAGATACCACCATGGTAGGTAGATTTTCTTGCATTTCTTCCTCAAGCATGGACAAGGCAGACAGAAAAGAGAAGAGAAGGATAAAACAAAACCCAAACAGTTGACGTAAGTAAAACAGTCTGAAAAACTCTTGCCATGATGCAGTGAAAAGAGGGTCCAAGAATCACCTCTGGTGGTTTTAAACTACCACCTATTTCACCACTTTGAACAACTTGGTCTACTTTTAGACCAAAAAGGCTCAACACAAACTGATTTGCCTTCGAAAGATCAATTCCCTGACACGGGTTTTTACTTGCCTGTACTTCCACATTCCCCACTCCTTACCCTCTGAAAGCAATGCATCCTTTCCAGCACCAAACCAGACCGCAACTTCGAGATGACAAACATTCCATTCACTTTGTGTTATCCCAACAACTGTTGCTTTGTTGCTAGCTCAACTATTGCATTCTTTGTTGTTGGGGTCAAAGCAGTGATTGCTAATATTGGAACAGATTAAGAGATGTACTTAATGGATATAGGTATTTACCTAATTCAACAAGTAGAGGTGCCCACTTCTTCGCAGTTTTACGCTGTCATGGTCTGTCTGCAGCAATGAGTGCTAGCTAATGGCACCAGCATCCTGCTTTCAACCCCTGCAGCACAGCAATGTTATGCTGCTTTCACAGCTCTTTGTAAAGGATCATTTCAGCCTGTGAAAGAAGTCTCCTTTGTCTTTCCCTTATAGTCCACTTCACCACAAAGGTTTTGCATTTAAGAACTATGCATCCTGTGCAATAGATTTCAAAGGGGGATGTGTTTCAGAGAAGAACTCCGATTTCAGTCATGTCAATAATCATGTCAGTTACCTTTGAAGCCTAAATTCATGCTTATAGTCAGAAGATCCTTAAAGGGGAGTTCAGGGGACTTCAGGGAAAGATGAGTTTCCACCTTACACAGCTCAGGAGTCAGAAAACTGAAGTGAATCTGTACTACATGAAGGTTTTTCCAGTGCTGCAGGTTTTAGCTCACAGAAGCTGTGGTACTTAAAAGCTGTCTCTGCTCAAAGGCACACCATTTTGAACCAGACACTGCTAGCTGCCTGACCACAAAGCCCCTAATAAAGATGCTGGACTGGAAACAGGAAAGATTATAAGAACATAAAAGGAAGGAGGAGAGGGAAAGAAACACTGAACAGAGCTCCTGAAAAAACAAAGCATTTCAGATGTCAAGAATAATGCAGTAACAGAAGAAGAATGATGAAATGGAGAAGGAAACATGGCTTCAGTACTTAAAATTAAGGATATCCATTAAGAACATGAGGTGTGTTTTCTGACTCTATCAATGGAAAGTCGGCAGCTGAAACTTAGCTTCCGTTTTTAATCTCATATGATGACTCTTCAGAGAGCTTTCATTCTGCAATGTACATAAATGAAAAGGAAGCAACACAAAGAGCCTGTTGTGAATAGTTTAAGTTTAATCTGCACCTAAGAAGTAATGCGAGTAAAAGCCTTAAAATAAACAAAGCAAGCCACGTTCCAGACAGTGACTGTTGTCAGACAGGAGTTACTTTACAAGGGACAAGGTTCTCCTCCCCGTCCCCACTGTCACTGCTCTGGCTCGTGTCTTGTGGCTCTGCGACCTCTAAGAAACAGATTCAACAAATACTGAAAAGTTTCAAGTATTTTTTTCTCCAACTTTTCCATTCTTATGCCCTCAACTTCCTAAGTAACGATGTGCTGGGGAAAGCAAGCCTCTCGCAGCTTCGACACTGGGAGGGCACATGTCGTGTAGCAGTAGTGGCCAAGAAAACTCATACCACATGTCCTAAGAAGTCTAGAGAACAAAACAAAAGGAATATTTTGCAAGTCCACCTTAGCCCTTACCCACAATACTTCAAATACAAATTGGATTCGCCTTGTTTCCAGCCACACTTGCCATTTTCAGATGAGAAGGAGATGGAACAGATCCATTCTAGGCCTGCTAAGTTATCACCACGACTCTGTGAAGCCAATCTAAAGCAGTCTTGAGAAAGGTGCTGCTTGGAACACACTGCAGTAGCTGAAAAGCCTTTGCGCTTGCTGACCCTCCAAGGAAGAGGTTATGGATTTGAGCAACAGTGTGATGTGCTTAGATTACACCAGAACAAACCCTTAAAGCTTCAGGTAGGGCTGAGAAGTCTAATTTATAGTTTTAAGTTAGGGGGAAGCTCTCACATGTAGTAGCTTGTTATTCCCTGGTCATTTGCTGTGCTAAAATTACAAACCTAAGAACTCAACAGCTTTTTTCCCTTCCTGGCATTACAGAAGCCTAATACAAGTCTACCACTTGAAGTAACTGTGAGAAAGAAATACGACCAGCCCGTGTGCTATCTGCAAGGCAAAAGAGCTCACTGGATCCCTTTGCAAAGTCTGTCACAGCATGGAAGCATTGTGTTTCACCAGGACTACTCAAAAGTCAGATATGGGTCCACTAATCAAGTTTTGATCTTTAAAGAATTTCAACAAATAACTAGTACTTGTCTTCTACAAAGGTAGAATTAAAGGTCTGGGTTTACCAGGAGGAGCAAGTGCCACACATAGATGTTCTCTCTCCCCCCTGCCCCATTTCTCTAGAAGCACAAGAGCAGTCACTGGTACAAACAGACTAGCATTCCTCCTGCTCTTCTCCCCCAAGGAATCCAGACCTTACTACATAGCACAGCACACAACCAGGTGAGAGTTCCTTGGTTTCCAACCAGAGAAGAAACATAACAAATACCTTAATCATATGGAAAGAGGGGACCAGCCCTCGATTCATCCATGTAATCAGACAGGGAAAAAACACACTCTCCTCCAAGCATGAATCCTCTGATGACAAGTAGGGAGTTCATGTAATGTTCTTCAGTATAATTCAATAAAACCTACTCCCTCTCACCCCTCTTCCCCCCAGAAACTACTAGGGACAAACTGAGTCAAACCAGGCTGCTTTAGTTTTGATATGCATGAAAGTACTTGTAATACTGTTTTAAAACGATTTTTAAATACTACCTTTTCTTTCTTTCTTCTTAATTAACTATTGTGAAAAGCTACATCAAATATTCTTTTCTCCCTAATTTGAATAACAGAAGGAGTCTTTGCAGAATTCTTAAGAGGAAAGGCAGTATTTTAGGAACTGGTCCTGATTAGCCCAAATGTACTGGAAATCCATTGTAAAAACTGACATTTAGAGAACACATCTACCGGAGATGCAGTTTACAAACAGGCAAGCTACTGCCCACAAAGTTTTAAGACTTAACTTTCCCTTAACCTTATGAGTCCCTTATTAAAATATTTTAATAGCTACAGGGTATTTCAGTGTAACTTGTCTAAGCAGCTCCTCATTGGAACAATCTAAGGTGCATAATCACCAGTGGAAACCCATTCCTAGAACCTGATCCACTGTTTTCCATGTTTCACTTTACACTTAATATTTTAACACCAGTACAAATAAACCAAGCCTTCTCAGTTAACTTTCACACACTGGTAAGAGTTCACAGCTCTAAGACTTGCTGGTTTCCAAAAGCTTCTCTAATCAAGGGCAAGATGGAAAATCTACAGGACCTGAAATCAAAGGGTACATATATTTCTGTCACAATTTGGATATTCCTACTGTGACAGATCACACTGCCAATGGCACAGTTCTTTCACCAATGAATATGATGAGGTTCCTTCAGGTCCTTCCTTACGCCCTATCACATAACCCAAGAGTGTACATCTACTGCATCTGACCCAACACGATACTTGCAAGTAACACACCATGAAATGCAAATACCATTTCTTCAGAGTGAAATTAATATGTCTTGATTGTCACAACTAAGCTCCTGCAGGTAAAAAACCAAATCAGATTGGTAGGGGGATAACAAATAAGTTTTTAGAGTAACTAAATAGTCACTTTATGAATCTGCATCAGTATCAATCATGACAGAGGAAGGTGAATGAGCTCCCGTAACACTTGCAAGCTTAGGAATACACATCCATACAAATAATTCTGGGATGACCTACTTTTGTAACATATTGGATACCTTTGCTCAAACTGTTTTCCAACGTTACACTAAACTGACTTGAATTGGAAAGTGACCTTAAGGTGTCTTCAACAAGAGCACAAATACTTTTTTGAGTTGGTAACACTGTATTAGTAAAGACTTGTTCTTGATGCATAGTATTTTCAATAATGAAAAGATACTTAAATATCTATTAGTCCCACAGGACAGTAACAGTATCAAATGTAGATCACTTGTATATAGCAAGTAAGAGCTCTCAGCAGCTTAAAACAGGCTAGGCAAGGGTTAAATGTACATGCAGGTGCAACACATGAATTTACCTTACTGTACATACAAGTGACCAGCTCCTTATGTGATGTGCCACCTGATATCCATTATGGAGTACATACAGAGTCATGCCATGGTACACACACTAGTTGCTGCCCCTCTTGACTTTCTTTAGAGTGCTTTCTTCTGCCCTCTGCCCCCACTGTGTGCCCTTATTCCTTGCTTCAGCTGCTGAGCAGCTCCTTCAAGTAAGAACTACCAACTAAACCAGACTACTTCAAACAGAAACCTAAAAGCAGCCTGAATGGAACGACTGAAGTTTCTTTACAAACTGCAGTGTGGAAGTTGTAGGTGCTACAATTCAGACAGATTTTGGATCTGAAGAGACGGGCAAGTTTATAAACAGATGCTATCAAATTTGGAGGCTCTTTAAAGAGAATATAAACCACAGAATTGATTCCAGCATTAGTAAATACAGCCTCGTAGAGTAAAAAACATTAACAAACTTAGAACGTTCTAACTCATTTGTTCTTACTGTAATCCTTTTGTAGAGCTGCTCCATCAGGTCTATTCCCAAGGGTTAAAAAACCCTCATCCTCAATGTTTTTTCCATCTTTACATTTGAATAGATCTTCTTTCTCAAGAGCATTTACACACTATCCCCATACATGTAGTAAAACAGCGTCTTTAATGACAAGAATCTGCAATCTAAATTCTTTCAACATTATCATCTGCATTTATTGAGCTTTGCTTTCAGCACGACCTGAAAGAAATACACCAGCTTCCACACAGTATAAAGCCTGACTTCACAGAGACTTCCAGAACTCTGCTGGAACGTGTGTGTCAGCTTAGAACCAGCAGCTTGTTACTTCCAGCACTGTAACGTGCGATCACGAAGTCTCTCTGAGTTTTCCAGAAGTTGCTCCAGTTCTGGGCAGCGGAGCAGGAAGGTGAAACTGAAGTTTGAACTACACTGGTATGAAGACACACAGATGGCTGTGCAAGTGGCAGCTTGCGACTACCAGAACTTGCATGATATCCTAACAAATCAGGCTTGTGTAACTAAGGCATCCCTGTGTATTGCATGGCATCTGTAAGATCAGAAGGCTGAAATACCTCAGGTTTTTCATTATTTTGGGTAGATTACAAGATTTAACTAGGAAATCCATCCAATAATCAGCATGCCTCTGGTCTAGGAACTTTAAGAAAGGCTGTGAGAAAAAGCGCTCTCCTCCCCAGTATGAATTTCGGTACAGGCAGAAGCAGCAATTGAGCCTAGGCAAGTTCAGAGGTAAGTTTGTGGTTTGCATTTTGATATTCAAGGAAATGGTATCCTATGGGAAGCACACACATGATCCACCAAAGCCAATCCCTGTGTAGTAAAACGGAGTTAAGTCCCAAAAGTCACAGAGCAGAATTTTCAGACAGCTTAGAGAAGAAGCAAATGACAACCTGCCTGCCCCCCTAAAGCACAGTCCATTGAGATGCTCTTTGTACATGTAGCAGATGTCTCTTAAGGCAGGTTAGAAGAATCCATGTGATAAGTAACACTTACAGCATATGCACCGATCAGAAACGCTGCGTTTGCTCGTTTCCGCTGGTCGAAGCTGGTGTAGTACACGATCTTCTTTCTTGATAGGCTGAAATACTGCCAAAAGGAACCAGAGAGCACAGTTACTGAGAGAAGACATGTTTAAAATGCCTCCAAAAGCCACCTTTCCAGACTGAAAAAGAAGTCAGGAGAAATCAGTCTTACAACTAAAGGAGAAAAGATTACTGATACCATCTTGAATGGAGTGCAAGGAAACGGCCACTGTATCAGGGTAGATCTCTCAGCTGTACAAACACAGCCTATAAAATGTGATTGAACCACAATGGTCAAGATTAAAACCTGGATTTTTTTCCAAGTTTAAAGATTTGAAACAAGAACCTATGAACGTTACTAAAAGACACTGAAATTTCCAGACCAAAACACCCCCCATGTGTTAAATTTCCCCAGCACATCATTCTGGGGAGAAATAAAAACCTATCGCAATCCATCTTACAGGCACTTTGTTAAACTAAACACTGCTCTTCCAGCTATACTACCTAAAAAGGGGGTGACAGACATCATCTTTCTAAAGCTTCAACAGCAAGAACTTGCATTTAAGAAAAAAGACTGCACAAGTGAAAAGCCTGAAAAAAGGCTGGGCAAGGACAAAACTGTACCACTGGCAATTCTGCTTTCTTGAGGAAGTAAAGAAGCCTCTGTCAGAACCCTGTGGACAAAACCCCCATTGAAAACAAGCCCAACAAGCCCCAGAAAAGAACAATAATGACAAACTGCAGCAAAACTGTTTAAAGCCAGAGAGAGAAAATTGTCACTTAAAAATGGCAAGTCGAGCAGTCTATTGTGCTGTTATTTTTTGAGCTCCATGAATTGCTTCACTTCCATTGTATTCTGCAGTGCTATCACACATGTTTTTCCTGACAGGTTTTTACAGTGCTACTACAGTCCTGAGGAAGCCATCACCAGACATTCTGCATTCTAAATATTAGATGTGCATGTATCTCTTGAAGTACTGCAGCAGTGATTTGAGTAGTGCCAACTGTATTCCATGTCCAGAAGCCTGTAAACATTGACTCTCATCCTCAATCTTGGTGCAAGTTTTAGAACAGCTTTAACCACAGAATTGTATTGTGCAAAATAAACCCCCCAAACAAATAGCTGATAAACTCAGAGGAAAAATTGCTGTATCATTTGCCACCTCCCACCAAAACTAGCACCTTTAACAGCACTTCTAACTATACATTCCAGGCTGGTGTTACCCACAACTTCCATCGGTGGAAGGAGGGAGTTAATGCAGGGAGTCTGTCTAACTGGGACTGTAATTTCAGAGCTAGCTGGCTGCTGGTGATTGGAAGTGGTTGTATCTTGAACCCAACAGCAACATCTCTCTCAGTGTATATGCAAACACACAAAGCTCGAGTAGTTATTTAATTAGTGAAGCAGTCAATTATTATTACACCTTGACAAAATGAAGCCCAGTATTTTAAGATCCCTCCTTTCTTCCCCCTCCTCAAGTTTTTAATGAGTGTTCTCTAAGTGCAGTTCCACCCATGATGTGTAGGTGGGATGAGATTACAGCAGTTATGCAACAGTGACAGAACTTCAATTAGAACTTGTTGACTGCTCCTTATTTAAAGCAAAGTTCTTTGCACCAGTTTACAGTTCACCTGAAATACTACTTTAAACTGCAAAAAGCACATTGTGCTGGCTAGCCAGAAGTGCTATATAGTAAGAGCCTATTTCTTGGCTTGTTGTACAGGTGGATGTTTTCTATCAGATATCTATACATGTCATTCCCATTTTGAGATGCTTTTGTACCTGGAAAAAGTGAGAGCTCACCTTAAAAGTTCCCAGAACATGGAAATGAAAGAAATGTAACATTTTCATTGCTTCAGTTCCCAAACAGAAGGGGCTGAGCCTCATAAACCATATCGCTACATGGAATAGTTCACTGGGTTTTGAATGCTGATGAAAGCTTGAACACTAAACTGACACCTGACATTTACTAATGGCTCATAGCATAGCAACCAGAGGAAAGCTGCACCAGGATTTTACTGTTCAGAAATGCATAAAACAAACCACATTTATTTGCACAGGTTACAGAAAATCAAGTTTTACAGTGTTTGCTGAAATGCCAATCTCATGCCTCTGTTAACACAAACTCTCACCTCACTGTACTTCCATTACCAATGCTAAGCTATAGCCTGTATTTTTAGGTAACACTGATTTTCTGACCATGATTAATAAGCTAAGTCCATTTCTTTGGCTAGGCCCACTGATAACAAGTGTTAAAGACGGCTCCAGAGCTCCACCTGAATAGAGTAGGGCTTTACTTCCCTCAGATACTGCACAACTCCCAAGAACCAAAAATGTTCCAACAAGGAAATCTTCAATACAGATTGCCTACAGAATAGCTCTAGTTACAGGTAACATAGCTGCAAACCATCTTCTTTCTAAAACAAAACTAAGGCAAACACTATGATGCATTAAATGTCTTTTTCTTTAGCAGCAGGAAAATGTTAGCAGTGTCACACATCATTACAAGACCAAATGCAACAATATACCAGCAGTATCTGTCAAGAGACATCACAGAGGAGCACACTCAAATACAACAATCTTTTGACCTAAAAGCTGAGGTTACATGAAAAGGTTTTGGTTTTAGGCAATAAAACTAATTCATTGGGTGTATGAGAGGGTTCCAGAAAACATTATTTTCACTGTAAGGTTATTCAACAGATCAGTTCCTGTTTCTGGAAGACCTCAAGTGATGACAGGTTTAGAAGATACTATTGTGAACAATTCCTAGATCAACATCTGTTTCGAATCACCAGCTTATTTGACAATATTTTATTTCATGGACATGCTTTAGTACACTTGCATTGGCCAAGCAAGAAATTACTGCAGTGCTTTCAATAAGCCTGCATCAATGCACATACTATGCACATATACACACACCTATATACTTCAGAGGGATATATACAACAGAAGTGACTACAAGGCTGGCAAACTGTTAATAGGAAAGTATGTATTAAAGCATGTAGCCACAACCCTGCCTCAGAATCTAAGCTGTCCCCAGGGAGATGCTTGCAATCACTATAGCTCCATGTGTATGCCCAGCAGTTTATTGATGTTAACACCAAACCAAACCCTCTGTGATCCAGCAGCAATACAGTTACCATACAAGAATTGTTAACCCCAGACTTCATAAGCCTGCCAGAACTTTCCCTCTTCTGCTTTTGATCTTCCCTTCTGATATCATCTATCCCAGCAATCCCCCTCGACCAGCCCTGCTTCTGGATTGACTGAGGTTGTGAGAGGCTGTACACTCATGAGGACACAGCAGGCTTTTTAAAGCAGTTTTCCTGAAACCAGGTTTATTTAAACAGAAGAAAAACATCTTTCTCAGCAAGCAGGATTCTAAGCAGCAGGAAGATAGCCCAGCCAAGCATTTTCTCGTCCTGTTGACTTGGCTAGTCAGGATCATCTCCATAGCAATCGGCAATCAAAACATGCCTAACATAGCAAGGTCAGAAAGGTTTTCCTGTAAGGCATAACCAGGACTTTACCTCTAACTTTCTCAGTAAATGGGTGTCTGAACAAACGCTTCAGCTCTTCAGAACAGAACAACTGACTGGTTTTAAAACCAGTCAACATAAAGTAACAACAATTCCCTTTGAAAAGTCGGCCTGCCACTAGCACATTTAAGTACCAGTAACCCTTCTCCTTCCCTACCTGTCCCCTAAGAAAGGAGAGAGGAAGGCAGGAAACTGCCTCCATGTCTAATTCCTTTCCTAGAACAGAAATAAATACAGCTGAAAGACTTGGAGGGGAAGTTTGCTTTGATGAGATCTTATACACCCATTTCTCCTGTTCCTACTCACAGGAGTTTTCAACTTAGTAAAAGTCTGAGTCCTGAACTCCTTTTGAGACACCACATCCACACCAGAACTATCAAATTTTGTGAATACTTCTTTTATGCCATGCTTCTTTTAAAGACTCTTTTTGTACGAGAAGTACAGGAAGCACATCCCCAAGCAGGTATATTCCAAACCATGGTAGGAATGACCAGGCTTAAGCAGTGTGATTGCATCAGGGTCCCAAAAGCAGTGGAGCATGGTAATAGCAACCATGCCACAGCAGAGGCTGGATCTCTGCAGTTCCTCTTCTATCAGCCAACTCCTGCTGTAGTCACAGGGCACGGTTACCCTTAATGCAAGGCTGTGCAGCAGCAGGTTGCCCAACAGGCCTCTTCCTCCATGTCATTACTTCAACTGGCACGTCCCACCTCTGAAGCGCTGACCACAGGCTGCCTACGTATCCCCCTGGTGCACGTGAGCTTTGCCATACTCTTTCTGCTGCAGTTACTCATTGCACCAGTGCCTTGCTGGCAGTAAGCCACAGGTCATGAACTTGTCTTAGACACAATAGTTCAGCCCTTGGGAATCCTCTCAAGGACACTTGTGAAGGTCAGACATGAGAAGATGAGAGGTAGAAGGGTGGAAGCTGTGAGTCTATACATGTGTGCCTACAGTACACATCGGATACGTACTTCAACCCTGGGGTTTGGTCTTACAAGCCTACTTACCCACTGCAGATAGTATCTAAATGAGGACAGTCTGGAATATACTTTAACTATTAGAAAACCAAAGCTTACATCAGCAGGCACTGGACTACCTGAGGGGAAGTGTCCATCAGCCAGACTGGAATATACTCACGTGCAAGGTTCTGTACCACTGTAGTAGTATTCCAAGCTTTAGATGTTTTAAGTTCAGGTATTACTTTTAAGTGGTTGCATGATCAGGTTACCCTTCTCTACTGTGCACTAGCAGTTTAAATCAACCTGTTGGGAATTAGCCTCTGGTAGGGCAGCAGCACAAACAGCAGCTCCTCCCAGCTTAAGCTGCAGCTGATGTGCATGAGATTTCTTTGTCCTGTTGGTGACCATTTGTACTCTTCACATAGCACTGCAGGGGGCTTGCTTTTACATAAAAATATAAAAGTCACATTAAAATGACATCACAGTTTGCTAAATCAATCCTGCAAGTGCCAGAGTTACCACTTCGGCTTCAGTTTGGCTCCCTTGTGTGTCTTTTCTATCATGATTACCAGCTACATGCAACAAACAGCTTGCCACGTTCAGTGCACATGGTGCTCTGGTAACAAGAATGAAGAGAGTAGACACATTCCTGTTTCATACTGAATCATTAAGAAACCACAAACAAGTCCCAGGGTATTTCTTATTTGTGCGCTCATTTCCTGGGTGAAATGCTTGGTACCTAGGATCCAGTTTGAAGGTGTTCTAGTTCAACTGCAGAAGTTTAAAGATATGCTTCAAAAGTGTATTCAGACTGTCCTCAGGTCCCAAACTGATCCCAGTCTCAGTCTGAAGCTGGAAAAAGCAGAACTAATCTCTCCAGTTCTCATATGCACAGTGAAAGTCAGAATAGGACGCTTACAGAGTAATTGCTTCACAGAGAAAGCATTCTCCACCACCTTTAATTATTCAAATATAAGGCCAGAAACAGTAGAATTAAGGTTAAAAAAACCTAAACATGGATTCCTAGTGAGTGAGCATCATTGGTCATGTGTTTAATGGGGACATTAATGGGAAATAGGCTAAGATAATGTATTTATAAGCTCTATCTAGTGTTAACACAGAAATGGCAAATCCAATACTTTCCCAATATGAAAAAGGCATTCCAAGTTAAAAATACAAGAGTTTGGTATTTGTTTTATTTATACCAAACTTTCTGCATGAAGCAGCAATGTAAATTTTCACTAGAAGCACTTTATTTCTTTTGCAGAAAGGTTATAGCAACTCTACATCACCCCTCAATTTGCAAAATGACCTCTCTTAAGACTACCTGAGTCAGCATGCCCCTGGAAGCAGTCCATAGCATTAACCAACTTGTGTAACGGTTTCACTGGTGCAGCAAACAGTAGCCCCAAACCATAATGCCACTTTTGATACAGGAATCCTCTTAGCAGTGGCCAGAGTTATCACATCTGTTGTCTCACTTTCCTGTTCTGTTAGTAACAGGTCTAATATATTATAGATTTTAAATCTGTAACATTTAGTGAAGGGTCTCCTTGCTATTTGCACACAAGTGGTATTTGGTAGTACTTTGGAATTAAAACATGATTCGTATCTCTTTTGCAGGCATTTGGGGACCAGGTTAAATCTCCAGCTACGTGCTCAGTGTGCTAGGTCTGGCTGGGATGGAGTTCAGCTCTCTCCAGAGCAGGCTGCATGGTTCTGTGGGTTAGATTTGTGGCTAACACTGTGTAGGTAACACACCAATGTTTCAGCTGCTGCCAGGTAGTGCTTGCAGAGCATCAAGGCCACCTATTTCTCACTCTGCCCCCACAGCAAGTAGTCTGGGATGGGCACATGGCCAGAAGAGCTGGCCCCAACAGAGAGAGGGATGTTCCATGCCACAGGACATCAGGCCCAGCAGCAAAACTGAGGAGCAGGGGTAGCTCAGAGGCTGGCCAGACACCAGTCTGCTGGTGGGAGGTGGTGACTTCCTCTGCACTACTTGCTTTGTTCCTCCTCCCGTGTCTCCCCACTTTTTATTCCCCTACAGTCAACAAGCACTACGTGGAAGTCAAGAAGAAAGCTTATACAGATATTTTGATAGAGGGACACTTCTACAAGACACAAAAAGGAACCATTTTTATGTGTAAAAACACATTCTTGTAACACTTATGAGGAGCAACATTAGATTGAATGAGACGTAAAAGGTTTAACTTTTCCACTGAGTGAGACTGAGTTTAAACAGTATGCTTCCAGGGCCCACGTTTTGTTCTGTTTTATGGCTGTGGGTATTTTTGCTTGGTTGTTATTTTAATCTCTGTTTATTCATCCTAGCATATATATAGCTGCAAACCTGAGAAATAGCCAGAGTGGTTTGTTACTATTGCCTTGAAACTGTAAGGTTATGCAAAAAGGGTGAACACAGCCTTCAGTGCCTCACCTGCTAAGCAATGACAGCATATTCACTTTTAACATTCTTCAGAAGGAAAAGAATTCAGAACAAAGAATAACCTTAGAGCTTAGTAGCAACCATCTAGATAATGAGCATCGAACAATCACAAACTGGATAATACATTTCAGTTGTACTGCAAAACAAAAATACAGGAACATTGCTTTTAAACAAAGCTTACCTTTAATTTCTTACTCAGTTTACAGCAGTATCTGTATAACATTGCCAAATTTAAAGGTCCAAAATCTCCATAGAAACTGGAAGAAAAAGCACAAAAAGATGTGTTATTTATACAAAAGAGCTAAGCAAATTTCAACATGTATGTTTTAAAGCTGCAAATCAGTAATTTTGGGGAGTAGCCAATACATATGGGAAAACAGATAAGCCTCATATTGATTCGCTTAAGAGGTTAATAGCAACAATTAATTTGAAAGCATTTGTAGCTTCAGTTAAAGATGCTCCAGTAACTACCTTTCCCATTATATACACACACTAACTACAGAATTTTTTCTTCATCCCACGATATCCAGACTGGTTTTGGACAAAACTACAGAGTGAAGAACTTCAAAACATCATCTACTCCCCTTTAAGCCATGCTGTTGTCATCCTAGATGAATATTATACAACTGCTAAAGATGAGAATATATCATTAGATACTATGAAGAATAAGCTAAATTGACCTTATGGGTGGCAAAATTTATTTAAGTTTGATCCAGTCTTGATCTGTCTGAAATTGAAGCTTATTTTTTTATCCCACCCTCCATTATTCCAGCAATTACATGTACACTTAACTTTACAGATCAGTGTTTCCCTTTGTCCCCCCAAACCTTCTTGTCTCTAGGCAATTATATTCCTATATATTACTTGTTTCATGACTTCTGATTGTTCTTGCTTCTCTCTTCTAGATTCTTAAGCATTGACATTACTTTTGAAACAGCAACCACTGTCCTTAGAATAAGAGCTAATAGCAATAGCGTGTAGAGGAAAGCTGTTGCACAATAAAGTTAAGTTGCTGGCAGGGATTTACAATGCTTTTCCAAGCTAACCCTTCATAGGCACCTTTACAAGTAATAGCAGTCTTTATGCTATACAACTTATGACACTTTCTGGAGCTTTTTCCCTCACCTCACGTCCTGCAGAACTGCTCATAATTTAAGTTGCAAGCTTTCTCCAATAGTTTTCCTTCTTGTGTGTGGAAGTCTTTACCTTGATGCTCTATGAAAATTTGTTGATGCCCACGTTATAAATTCCAGTGAGAGCACACTAAAACTGCTTTAATCTGCAATGCCTTTAGTCTTTTGATAAAGGAGACAGGACACTTCTTGCCTACTGACAAACAAAACAGGCCATCTGAATGTGTGCAACTTAGGGAATGACGAAGAGAGACGACTATGTTCTACAAATCCTGGACTTTGAAGGAGTGAAAACTTCCTGAAATCGGATGACAGAAGAGGTGGTAGTACCATTCAAGCCTCCTTCCCCAGAGCAGAAGGTTTATTTTTTCAGGAAGATTAATTATGTTCCAGCTAAACAAGGAGAAGACCTTCACTTTGAGAGCGGTCACACATTGGGAAGACGTCCCTCAGAAGGGCTGTGGAGTCACAAACCAATTGTGTAAGGCTCTAAGCAACATGCTCTTGTTGAACTTGCTTTAAGCCCAGGGGCTGGAGTAGATATCTCCTCTCCAGAGGTGCCTTCCAGTTGCAGTCATTCTGCTATTCTAAGTGGTCACAAGTAGAAGTTTCTGATCTCTTAGGTGCTTATAACTTCACCAATAATAGTCCTTCCCACATTCTCTCATACAAAAAAGCTAAACCCTGTGCAAAGAGACAACTGCATTAGCCTGATCACTGTCTAGGATGATAGCCTGCCTGCCACACCAATGCCTTTTCATTATCATCTGCTTTACAACAACAGAAGTTTCTGTTAAGGTTCAGTTCAACCCTTCAGTACAGAATATTATGACATAATGCTTAATTAAAAAGTCCATTAGCTGGGTCAAAGACTAAGCTCTCCAGCTATTAAGACTTTATTTGTAGGTTGCACAGGTGTTAATTAACTCAAAGGGAAATCACAGTGGCAGTAAAGCAGGGTTAAGCTTTGGTATTCCTCATCTTTTCTTACACAAGTCTGCTAGATACAGGAAAAAGCTATCTGTGCAGGTTTTAATAGAAATGAAAAGGATGAGATGAAACTCATACTTGTCTGAGAAGGACAAGTATGAGTTACGGTACAGAAGTTAAACGTGGGAGCTCTAACACCACTAGTGACTGTAGCTTCTAGAGAAGCTATATAAAAGACACACTAACATCTCTTCCCATTCTGCTGCACTAACACCTTCCCTAAGTGAAAAACCAGCTCTAACTTGTTCCATGAACTTTAGAGTATTCTTTCACTTAAATATAAGATGGAAGAGTAAAATTCAAGATTTTTTTTGTGAAAAATACTTTCAAAAGTATTGTGAAGAAGTACAGAATAGAATAGTTACTAAAATAGAGAATACTTTTAAAACTGGTGTAAGCAGAGTAGCTCAAAGACAGCACTGAATACACAGTTCATCTAAAGCACTGAAGAACTTTAGGATAGTAAGTTCACTTGCTAGAAGTACATCACTACGAAGTCAGATACTCACTTCTACTTTTCCACATGATTAAACTCTAACCAAAGTGTAGGAAAAGCGCATGAAAATTAAATTACAAGCTAATTTATCTACAACAGACAGATTATATACTATATTGGTGGGGATAAGGGTAAGATACATTTGAGTGTATCCATGAAGTAATTTTATTTCTACAAAATAAAGCTCCTCAGATTCTCTCAGCCACCAAGCTAAAGACATCTCTATCTTAGGCTGACTTTCTCTATCACTCATTACCATTAAGGTATGCAATGACACTCTTAAGGGAGGAAGGGGAGAGGAAGCATCAGTGTTTCTGACTCTGGTACTACCACTGTTTGCCTGTGCTGCAGAAACAAGATGTTTCTCAGAATCCAAACACAGAGGCAAAAGAAAGGCATTTTTGGTCATTGTTGCACCAGTATTATTACCCACACATAAACACTGGCAACTCCCAAGCTATTTACATAACACCATATAGGCACTATAAACCAGCCATTGACCTTATTGATGTGAGGGACAAAGGTTATTTGTTACATGTGTAATTTTAACTTTCCTCACTTAATAGCCCCAAACTGGGATAAGCTTGGATGTCCTTTTTTGAGTGGGGCTAAGTGAAACAAGTGCTTTACAGACCTTCCAGTCAAGGAGTTCTCTGAAAGGAAATACAAGGCTTTGTACTGAAGTCAGTGAACTCTGATCTACAAAACCCTACTTAAATTTATATCCTTAGAATTAAAGTTTCTGACATGTTTCAACTCATTACTTTTAGTATAACAGGCCATTTCTGTACTTGAATTAGAGACACTTAATCCTGACTCACACAGAGGATTTTCTTAAGAACAGAATTTTGACATAGAGTTAAATGTAAGTGGAAGCTGGGAAACGGGAGCTGCAGGGAATAGGGAAGAAATGACACACCAAGTCATCATTTGACTACCGGATTTTATCTGGCAGAAGCTGAAGATAAAAACCATAAAAGACTAATCTTAGTGTCTGTTAACAATCTACCCAATATTATTTTATTTCCATCTCTTTTACAGTTAATAAGACTTTCTTTGTACCTAGATGTGCTAATAAACATTTCAGCCAGTTAAGAGAGACAATCATCTACCAAGGAGGTGGGAACCAGCTATGAGGATCAGAAGGCAAGTATGGTATTAATCTACATTTAATCATATTTTGTTTTCTTCAACTACTTAGATGATAGCTTAAATTACTTCACCCTCATGCCATGGAAACCCTTATACTTCTCAAGCTAAGAAGTAGCAAAATCCCAGGATATGCTAACAGATATTTAAATGCTTTACTTTAAGAATACTATCATAATGTTACTCGGAAGCAGTAGCTCACGTTTGTTGAACCTGCGTACTCCTAGAACTACTCCTCCCTATGGGTTCTTACAGCATCAGATCCAAGGTATTTGCTGTGTTGTATCATAGGAATGGTCACCCACCTAGAAGACTGGTTCACTCTGTCACAAAAGGAGTTACTATACATTCTTCCAGGGGAATTTATGGTGAAAGAAATGTAGTACACAACTCCCTAGGACAGCAACTTGCCGTTGCCAACTGAGGTTCCACTGGATGCCACACGAAGGTGCCATGAGTCAGTTCAAGCCTTGGGCACCTCTTTTGAATGCCAAAGACATTTCTTACTAAGCATTTGAATACCACTGACCCTGGTACAGCAGAAGAATGAAGCACCTTTCCTATCTTGAAGTACTGAAAGGAGCTTGTTTATGGTCAGTGAATTAATAGTATAGCCTGGCAGACTCTGAAATGAATTGCTAACCTCCATTAACATCACAGCCTACCTATGGCTAGGGTAGCAAATTATCCTGCAAAGATAAATCACACTGCTTAGACTTCACATCAGAAGCCTGAAACCATTTCCCTGCAGATGAATACACCAGATCAGTAGTTTTATACTGTCATTCACATACACGTCTGTAATACAGCACAGGAATGGATGAAAGGACACGAGATTGCTACCTGAAAAGCTATTTCAGGGTTATTTGTGACAGCAGCTCAGTGTTATTGCCACACTAAGTGAGGGTGTGCATGCATTCTTACCAGGCTGCAGGCATTTCCAATAGCTTAAATATGGTCCAAAGCCTAATCACCACATCAGGAGGGGGCAGGGGCAACAACTAGGACAGATCCACCAAACCAGTTCTAACAATGCAGTAATGCTTAGGGGGGATGATGTTACTTGCACAGCAACTTACTCAGTTACTGACTTACTAACTAGAAAACAGAGGCACTGTTTAACAATTGCAATCATTTTCTGGAGCACGGGTACAACTACTCCTTCAGTTAGGAAGCGTGCCTTCTTGGGAACTAGCAGCCATATAAATTCATTTTTCTGCCAAAACAGGAGCATGCCAAGCTTGCAAGTACTCAAACCAAAAGGTTAACCACAAGAACTCCAGGAACTAGCAGAAATACAGCTTCCTAACTGCAAAACTACACTAATTTTTCAACATTTTACAAAGATCCAGAAATTAGAGAAGCATTTTCCACTTGCTTTTCTCTGCCCCTTTCCTAGGCTGGGTTGCTAGAACATTTGGGTCACTGCACTGTAAAGCCCTTGCTGTATGTGCTCTGAACTCGCCATTAAGCCATACAAGAACCAGCT